GTAGAGTTCGGCCCCCGAACCGATTTAAGGTATATTCCTTAATTAAGGGATATTGGAGTCTCTGGGGAGTCAAGCCAGAAGGTCCAACAGCCCCACACACACACACACCTAAACTCGTAATTCAGCTCTAGGCCCCTATGCCCTAAACGCTTACACTCTAAACCCTATAAACCCTAAGCCCTAACACACTAAACCCTATAAACCCTAAACCAATTGTGCTGGCGGCAATTGCTCCGAGGTTCCTGGGGCAGAGTTGCTCAAGGGCTTCACGGAGCCACGGGGCACGGCCATGACCCCTAAACTCTAAACCCTACATTCTAAACCCTAAACTCTAAACCCTACACTCTAAACCCTAAACTCTAAACCCTAAACCGACCATGATAAGACATGTTGAAGCCTTGGGTTTGGGGGCTTGTAGGGTGGAGGACTTGGGTTCAGGGGGTTTGGGGTTAAGGGGCTTGGGGTTTAGGGTTTAGGGGTTTGGGGTTTAGGGGTTCAGGGGGTTTGGGGTTTAGGGTTTAGGGTTGTTTGGACTTTGGGGTTTACGGGTTTGGGGTTTAAGGTTTCAATGCCTACACTAGACGCTATACTTACGTACCCAGGCGGGGAAGCCCCGAAGCAAGACTCTCAAAGCCACATCCGAATATACACCAGACCAACGAAACATCATTCTTTCGAAATCGCGACTACAACCTTTATTGTTACTATGGGCTATTTCCATTATTGTTATCATGCGTAGTAGTACCATAGTGTTATTGGTGGGTTATTATTGTTTTCATTCGTAGTAGTATCATATTGTTACTATGGTTATTCTTGTTTCTGTCATTCGCAGTAGTATCACGAGTGTTCTACAAGCCCAAAAAGCCAATCAAGGACTGAGCCCTCAGTGCAAAAGTCCAGCCCCAGGTCCCGACGGCGTCAAGCAGCGACTTGGGCGGGTAGCCTTTCACCATAAAGTCCTTCACAAGCTGCCAGGGTTTCGGATCCAACAGGGTTTGGGGGTTCAGGGCTCTTTCGGCAGCACTCCCTGTCAAACCCGAAGCAAAACTGCCACCTGGTTGACCTGAGTTTATTTTCAAGCAGCCCTCATGTAGCCGGATTCGAGGTCGAGGGTTCAGGTTTTGAGGACTTGGGGGTTTAGGATCCGGGTTTTACGAGTTTCGGTGCAGGGAGGCCCCTTCACAAGCCACTTAGAGCATTAGCGATGGATGCTTTTGGACCTGTCCATTGCAAAGTAATCTGTCAATTAGACTATAGCGCAGGGCTCTAGTATCGGACTTTTCGGAGGTTTAAGACAGATTTGAGGTCACAGTGCCTTCAGTGCATGGGAGCGCCGCCAAACAGGGTTTCAATGTTAGAGGGCCTCTGGGTTTAGCGCTTAGGGTCCAAAAAACATACGCCCTTTGTGTCCGCGCCTCGCCCATGCCCATGCTCCTGGCACCAGTGCGAGCGCGAATCAGTGGGTTCAGGCCGGGTGTTAGGGCTCGGGGTTGGGTGCCTACTAGGTTTAGGGCTTTGTGGTGCTAGTCTACTAGGGCTTCTCGGCTTATGGCACTGAGGATGCGTGCTGAAGCGACGGGTCTTCGGGGTTTGGCCACTTTGTCGAACTTCGCATGAAAATTTCTATGAACTGCCGTCACTACGACTCGAGCACACTTCAGAGTTGTTTTCGTCGTGACCGGTATAGTAGCAAAAAGAGTGCTCTTCTTTCCCGCCCACTTAACGAAATCCTCAAACGGACCCCACACCCCAAACTCCCAGCACCAGACCTTCGCATGTCAAGCCCAAAGCCTCCAACACACTTGCTTCACGGGCCGTAGCCCTCTCGAAAAACACCCTGAAGAGCCAACTCCAAAACAAGCAAAAAGTTGGAAAACTTGACGGCCCTCTCCACGGTGCCTATAAACTCCCAACATTCGATTTACCATATTGCTTAATTTTACTAATCATCCGTAAGCACGACGACGCAGAGGCCCTGGCTTCCCCCAAACGAGGGCATTCCGCTCCAGTCGCCACCAGGAACTGTCAAGTTGTTTTCGGGTTCAAGGGTTTTGCGCTGTAGACTCCGACTTGGATCTGAAACCGTGTCCAGCAACCGAAGTGTTGTCTTGCTTTTGATTTCTTTTGGCTGGGATGGGAACGGGGGCGGGGGGGCGGGTGCTCTAAGTCAAGCATCTCTCGTGGATCCGTGTAAGAATCTCTTTGAGAAACAGGACCTACCCGTTAACGGGTGCTAGTAGAGCTTCAGCTCTAGGCATATGCGTCGTGGCATGGGTGGGTGCCTGGGGGGAGAGCAGTCTTGAAAGAGTTGATGCGCGGCGTGAGACGAGGACGAGGTGTGATTCGGACCCTAATGTGAAGATTTACTGACATGTGAAGCAAGGATTCTGCTACTAGGGAGTACTTACTAACATTCGAAGAACTCAGAGCCCCTAATACGAATCCTACTTCAGATCGTAGATTTCTATTGCGAAAATCTTTAACATACAAGCCAAATCAAACACTCGTCAATATTCCTAGAGAGCCCCATATCCACACGGCAAAAAGTCGTCTAAACCCTACTTTAGTATCCACTGAGCTTTCCGCCGGTGCTGCTCCTCAGGTTTGCGAACGATGACCAAGAGTGTGGCCTTCGCGGGATGCGATCTTATTCAGACTTCTGGAGTGGAGGACCGGCGAATAGCCAAGCGTAAACAGAGAACTGTCGACCCTGTGGCACGGAGCTTTCAAGCCCCAAAAACCCAAGCCTTACTCTGAACCGGAATACCCTCAAGACCCAGATCCCTAAGCCCACCAATAATCTCAAAAAGCCTCAACCCTAAACCCTAGCCTAAACCCCACTCAGAAACCCTCAAAAACCCCAGAGCCACTGCAACAAACACCTCTTCAACCCCGGAGCTCTTAGCCGCCAGAGCCGTGCGGGTTTGGGGCTTGGGGGTGTAGGGTTTAGGGTGTAGGGTTTTAGGGCTTAGGGTTTAGGGCTTCAGGGCTTCAGGGTTTTAGGGTTTAGGGTACAGGGTTTAGCGTTTAGGGCTTCAGGTTTTTAGGGTTTAGGGTGTAGGGTTTAGGTTTCAGCGCTTGGGGTTCAGGGTTTAGGGTACGGGGTTTGGGGTTTAAGGTCTAGCAGTGAAAGCCTTTAATTATGGCAAAAGGTTGTGTAGGTTTAGGATGGTTTAGGCTTGGGGTGAGGGCTTGCTTAGTGGTTCCTGCACTTGTTGTTCTTGGTACTCATGTGCTTGTTATGTTTTACCCATCGGGATTGATTGCGCAACACCGAGTTCTTGTTCACGCAGCTTTATATCATCCACTTTTGGGTGAGTTTGGTTTAGGGTCTACCTTAACCTACCAAAACCTACCTTTTAGGTTCTTATTATAAACACTCATATGGGGTTAATAGGGGCCCTACAAAAAGTAGGTTCGGGTGGGTTAAGGTAGGGTTTAGGGTTTCTGAAGTCGTCAACACGGAGTTTTCGGAAGATCTGAGTTCTGCAGACCCTGAACGCCATATGGGTACTTGCCATATTTTAGAGAACTACCCCTGTGGGCAGTTCTCTAAATTAGGGCCCCAATTTGGGGGTCCTTTCTAGAAGGGTGCCGTACTATATTGGGGACCTAATAAGGGACCCTGATTCAGCGACCCAAACACCCCGGCTGTCGATCCTTCCACTCCAGAGATCTGGGGCTGCAGGAGTTCAGAAAGGGACCCTTAATAACTAGAATAGGGTTTTGAACCCTGAACCCAAAAGGGGTTCATTGTTCTAAACCCCAAACCCTGAACACCAAAGGGGTACATTGTTGTATAATCATTGTCATAGTAAGGAACCCTCATAATCATACCGACCCCTATCGTAGGGCTTTATGAAAGGTTCAGAAAGGGGTATATAGGGTTTTGGGGGTTAGGGTTTACGCTCTCGCAGCTCGAACATGCCAGGCAAGGTTCATCAGGTGCAAGTCGGCATGAACCCTAAACCCTAAACCCTAAACCCCCCCCCTTCAGGGTTCAGGGATGAGGCTTCCGCGTTCCAACCCTAAACTGTAATATATATATATATATATATCTTGCGATCCAGATCGAAAACAACATGAAACATAAAGCCTGACAACTTAATCCCACAAGCATAAATAGCCGTAAATAGCCTTGGTCGAATTGTGCATCTAAGGTATGTCTGTAAAACTAATGTACACAAGCGGCTGTGCACACTGCCCCGTTCCTGCATAAAGACCTGCGCAGGGCCATAGCATGTCTTTACGTTTCATTAAACACCGGCTTGT